CTTGATAGCCCACTCCCCCTCCACACCGCTCCACACTCGTTGGTTTGGAACAGCACTTAATGTGGCGGACCCTCCGTGCGAACGCGCAAACGGAGGGATAGTGTGTAGGGGTAGGGTGTAGGGGGCGGTTTGGGATTGGGCCCAAAGAACACGTCCCGACGGACCCGACTGTTGTGTCGCCTCACGTCTCCTGCGTCTTGGCCAAAAAGTCGCACTGGAACACACGGCAAATACTTCAGCCGACGGCCAAGTAACACGTACGCACTGCGCATGCGTGAGTGGCAATAACTCTCCTTACCAGCAGGCGGCGGTAGTGTGTATTCGTCATTCAAAAGAGGCAACAACCAGAAGACAGACTGTGTGATATATACAAACAACAAATAGTGTGTGCGTTCCATTTTCACTCTCGTCCATCACAGACTGTTTCACATAGCGACTTATAATCGAAAGCATGTTTAGTGCGGTACTGGCGGTATTAGCCCCTGGACTGTTGCTTGTGGCTGTGTGTGCCTTCTTAATCGTTTGTTTGCGTACCTCACTTCCGTTTCGCTTCTCATGCACTGATTCGCTAAGCTGAACTGCCAATCAGAGTGATTTATTTTGCCGACAGCCTCTGCTCCCGATTCAACATGTTCAATCAGGAGTGGAAGGTGTCGGCACGGCCGAAAAGACACAACGGTGCGGGACACACCAATCTGAGTAGGGCGACAGGACGCTCATCGACGGCCAGACATCTATCGACGGCCGAAATCGGCTTGGTGTGTAAGGGCCTTAACACTCAGTGTATTCTCAGTGAGAATAAAGCAAGAGGTTAGAGCTAATTCTCTGTTGATAGCTCAAGGAATCAAATATTTATTATAAAGATAGATGGTGGATCAAACAGAGATACAAATAAATAAGTAAAGGGCATTTCCTGATCCTTCGTCTGCGCTTGTCTTTTATTGTTCCTGTAGATATCTCATGTTATTGCCCTGTAAATGTAGAAATGTTTCTTGGAAGCTGCTCTGTCTGGGGGGCCATTAGCTAAGACAGCAGAGAGTACATGGAAGTGCAGTGAGTAACAATGGTGCATTATTGATGATGCCATTAGTTCATGTGTACACTTTCCTCAGCCCCCCCTCACCTGTGGAGTAAAACTCTGATTATTACTCTCTGGCCATTACAGCCTCTGCTCAGCCCTCCCTGGATGTTGTTGCTGGTCTGTCAGATCGATGTTTATCTGTTTAGAGGGCAGAGAGGCTCTCCTATACTCTGTACAACACCAGATCCTCTAATGAAGACAATCTGACTGCTGAAGTCAATCTTTATATTTTCACTGGCAAATGAAACAGAGGAGCTGATTGGTGCACACATGTCTCTCTAAGTCTGTCCTATCCGTCCCTCTGCTCTATAGGAGCTCGCTGATGTTCGCCATGTTCACGCTAAGCTGAAGAAGCAGTTCCAAGAGAAGATGGTAGAACTCGCCCACGCCAACCGGAGGGTGGAGAGCCACGAGGCCGAAGTGAAGAAGCTCCGACTGAGGGTGGAGGAGCTGAAGAAAGAGTTGGGACAGGCGGAGGATGAGGTAGGGACAAGGCTCTGCATCTATTTCTGAATGTTCCTCTAAAGGGACCATCATTGCTTTTGTCCATTTATTGTAAACGTTCAGCTTCTAACTATTCCACCAAACCAAAACTCCACTAATCATTCCAACCAACAGTTAGACAGCCAAAGACCAAAAAAAGGTTTTATCTGACAGAAAGTATAGAAGCTAGGAGCCCTGTGGATGTGTACACAGATCAACCTATGGGGCAACCATCTGCCATACCACATTTGTAATGCCAACTAGCACACTACATAATCAGCAGTAACAACGTGTTCTTGTTGTGTGTGTGTGTGTGTGTGTGTGTGTGTGTGTGTGTGTGTGTGTGTGTGTGTGTGTGTGTGTGTGTGTGTGTGTGTGTGTGTGTGTGTGTGTGTGTGTGTGTGTGTGTGTGTGTGTGTGTGTGTGTGTGTGTGTGTGTGTGTGTGTGTGTGTCCAGTTGGATGAGTCCCATAACCAGACCAGGAAACTGCAGAGATCTCTGGATGAGCAGGTGGAGCAGACTGAGAACCTGCAGGTTCAATTGGAACACTTACAGTCAAGGTAAGACACACACACGCACACACACACACACACACACACACACGCACACACACACACACACACACACACACACACACACACACACACACACACACACACACACACACACACACACACACACACCCCATTGGTCATTGGTCGACCAACCCTATTGAAATGCATGTAATCTGAATTGTGCCCAGGTCTCAGTGTTGCCCTGCAATTGGCTGCTGTGTAATAAACACATTCACCTTGATGGCCATAGCTACCTAGCCTGATTACCCGACAGAACTACAACTTTGTTTCACTTTCAGTCTGACATTGTGTTTATTTTAAACAACAACCGGGCTGAATATGCTAAACTAGTGACGTAAACACTCTCGACTGCTGAATGGTCAGAGAGAATCGCTGGCAAGGGGGCTACAACTACAACAAGATGAACATATTTGACCGTGATTTAATTGTAATACACGTTTCAAAATGATGCCGAAGTAACAACATACTGATACCGGTTAGTAAAAACCATGAATTAATGCTTTGTCAAGTCTGCAGACAGACGGCAGGCGAAAAACCTTTTAAAATGCGTGTTTTCTAAATGGAGATTGGCTAAGCTAACGCAGTATATGCTCCGACCGTCCACACTCACAACAACGGCCTATACAGACATAAATAAAGCAGCGACTGTATTCACCATGACACAGGCAGTCTGTGGTTTGTACTTGTTTAACTTTTGTCTAGTTTCTGAACAGATATGAGGAGCTGTGAGCTCTGAGTGCTAACAGCTAACGGCTGATGTTTTGGTTTTGTGGTTCGCATTGAAGATGACGTCACGGCAGTTTTACGCAGCGTCGCTCCGCCCGCCGAACAGCCGATCGCCCCGCCTACACTATGTTACTATAGTTACTACCCCAGTTCCTAAACTGTAATGGAAACGCAGCAAGTGAGCCTGGCCTACCAAGGCCTAATCATACCGTACTAAGCCGTGCTAGGTCCTGCAGTGGAAAAGCGCCATTACAGGCAGCAGGTTGGCATGTGTCAGTGGCAGCAGTATATCAGCAGCAGAGAGTGTGTGTGTTCTGCTGAAGGCTCTCAGCAGCAGCAGAGTGTGTCTGTATTGTGCTGAAGGCACAGCAGAGTGTGTGTGTGTGTACTGAGGGGTAAACACGTGGCTGTCACTCACAACTCGCACTGCTCGGAGCTAAACTTTATCACACAGTCCTGAGAGAGTTTTTAGCGTGATCTTGTAAAGTGGTTTGAAATATTAAAAGATGAGCAGGAGAAGGTGAGACCTGTCGTCAGTTACAAACCAAACCTAAAAACATAAAGAATATTTTATACTGTATATCTTTTTTAAATTACTGGCAAAACAATATACAAATGTATTAAGGCTGACATTATTCACTTACAAATACATATTTCTTCAGGAATACAGCGGCATAAGATATTCTCCTTGAGTATCTTATCAAAATGCCCCAAACTTTGCAATATCTTAGAAAAGGCTCATGCCAACATGGATTTGTGTTGTTCTTTAAGAGTGTGTGTGTGTGTGTGTGTGTGTGTGTGTGTGTGTGTGTGTGTGTGTGTGTGTGTGTGTGTGTGTGTGTGTGTGTGTGTGTGTGTGTGTGTGTGTGTGTGTGTGTGTGTGTGTGTGTGTGTGTGTGTGTGTGTGTGTGTTACCTGTCTATCAGCTCTGCACAGTCCTCAGCTCCTCGTTCTCTCTCTCTCCTTTTTCTCCACGTCGTTGCTTCGGCAGCCAACAGCCAATCACAGAGCTCCCAGTAGCAGGTTACCCTAGTAACAGAGGGCTCTCTTGTTGCTCTGCTTTGTTGAGTAGTGACAGGTGTGTCGGCATGGTAACAGCTCAGACACTGACCCTAAAGTGTGTGTTCTTGTAGAAGGTGTAGCTAAAGCTTTTCTCCATTCTGGATATGTTTCATTCAGTTACTCAGAGACTGCTTGACGAGTGTGTGTGTATGGCTGTGTGTGTGCGTGCATGTGTATGTGTAAGTGTAAACTAGTTAGAGCGTCATAGGAAAACGAGACTAAGGGCGTGTTTTTTTCCTAATCTGACGCTCTACACTGTTCTAAGAAAAAGGCGTATACTTCAGTATGAATCATCAAACAGGTAGATTTGATAACCTCAAAAAAACCTTTACTATCGATATGTAGAATACAATATGCTGTGTGTCTGACGTGATGTCAGTGAGGATGGCAATGTAAAATATAACTATGATGCCATGTAATAGCCTCTAACAATCTGACTATGTAAATTATTTTTTAAAACTGGGCTGTAGCTAACGTTAGGAGTTAGACATATTGTAAGATAGGTAACTGTTTATTTAAGAGTATGGCTTAGGAGTAACTTTCACACGTTCCCTTCCCATGATGCTCTGCTGCTCGTCTCCTCAGATGGACAGAGTACGTTCTGCCGCCCCAAGTCTCAGCTGCTCTCAATATATAAATGCTACATTCCAACAGCACTGTGACCTTTTCTGAAAGTTCACAAACTTGAAGTCAGCACTGATTTCTAGAGGGACACAGTATTTATTTTGCAGTCAACACACAATAGTAAACAACTTACCCACACCTCGCTGTCACACTCATGTATCCGTGGAACATGATATGGAGCATCTCAGCCACACTGAAGTGTTTCTGTAAACCATCCTCCTCTCGGCTCATTCCCCCGACTCTTCTCTGTAGAGAAGTCCTTCATGTCTGTCTCTTTGCTAAGTGTTTGTCAGCTCAGAGCTGCTGTTCCAATGTAATGATGCTTTATCTGCCAGCTGCTCTGACCCTGATCTCCTGACTGACAAGTGTCTGTCACTGAAAGAGATTAAGAGAAAGGGAGACTGAAGGCCAGTGCAGGGAGAAGAACGAGCGGAAGAAGAGAAAAGCCTCTGTGGTGAATAAGATCATTTGGAGAAGCAAACAAAAAAACCAGATTCCTCAAAGGTCAGACCAAGCTGCTGATTTTGCTTCCTGTGAGTTGCATTAGGGGGTTATATATGGTCGAGGAGGGTAACATTGTGTTTTGAGATACACTCTGATGCGTGCAGCTGTGAAACATTGTTTTAATGATTCACCCCTCGCCAAATGCCTTGTTTTATTATAAAGAATTGATCAATTTGGTCCAAAAACATTTTCCTTCTTTGGTTTAAAGAGGCAACAATGGAATAACTACTGATGAACGCATATTTATTAAGTGCAGATTGACTACATGTCAGGAATATCGAATAAAATACAAAAAGGGATCTTGTACATCAATAATACAGGATTACTGGGGGACAGGTCACTCATTATTTTGAAGGTTTTGGCAGTTCAATGAAAAGTCCTGCATCATAAATGCTGTGTTTTTTCATTGTGATCTCAATAAACCCGTGTCATTGGAGACTGAGCCCTTCTGAAGCTGCTGTTTGAATGACAGCACACACGCTGGGTCTCCTGTTGGTATACCTCGGACATTACTGTTGGGGCAGCTTCATACACAGTATATAGCATTATGTTTTCTGCATCAGGAAGCGCGTCTCACTGTGGGTGATGACTATCTGAGGTCAGGATCAGGGCATGGGACTTTGAATTTTCACTAACATGTGTCTGTTGTGAGCCAATCACATGACAGCCTTAAGTACAGATGTAAAATAAATGCATGAAGATGCATTGAGGTCCCATCCCTTAGAGTTAGACACTAACGTCTTCAAAATATGGCCATCAGCCCACACACAAAAGAGCACGTTTTTCCTTTAGGCATAGCTAGTTTGATGTAAGATTTATTTAGAGTAAAAACTGAAATACAAAAACAAAACAACAATAATAAACAATTCCTTTCAAAAGGCTTGAATGGATACAGTGTCTGGGGCCTTCATATGAAAGTTGCTCACTGGCAACTAAGCCAAATGGCCGGACTCGAGCACAGTCATACCTGGATCATAAGGTTCTGGCTCCATAGAGCATGTGTTACATCTGGGCTGAGTCAAATAAGTGGTGAGGGAGAATAAATGTAACTTTAAAGCCCTAATGATTTTCAATCTCGTACTGTGTAGTTATTTTTACCGAAATAATTAAAATCTGTTCATTTATAGATGTCTCTTTCCCAATGTAAGTCAATGGTAAAAAAATATTTTTGGGCCCGATGACACAGATGTTGTAGTACCACCGTTTGGCCACAGGAAAAATAGCCAGCCACACTTCATTGAAGCTTGCTGGAGACACATGTGAAGAAGCATAATGCCCGGTGGGAACTGACGCAGTAAGAGCTGTCCACTTGTGATGAGTTGACACGAGACATGTCAGCGGTGAACTGGCCATAGAGCCACTTCCTGTTCAGTGTCACACCTTTCACACACTGGGTTATTTCGAAGCTGAAAATATGTCGTCAAGACAATTTAAAGCATGAGCTGTAAATTGTGAGAAGCATCTTCACAAGGTGTTCAAACTGTCTTGGATGAGAAAGACAGCGACTGAACTGCATAAGAGGATTTCAATTGACTTTCAGAGAGCTGACGCCTCGCTGCAGCTGGTGTGTTCAGGGAAAACGAGGATCTAGTGTGGCCAAATCCATCTTCAGGGTTTGTTTCATGATAGACCTCGCTGGCATCTTGGAACAAAAATCAATAGTCATTGCATTTCTAAACCAATAGGAAATGCATACAGCTCAGGGAGACATTAAATATTTGTTTCATTTTGAGGCTTGTTTAAATCCATTTTGACGTGTAGATCACATACTCCCTGCTATTTTCAATAGTCCTCTGCATAAATAAATCCAGACATTATAGTTATTTTAGCCTAGTCAGTTGGTATAGTGTATTCTTCACGTAGCTTAGCGCTGTCACCTCTAATGCTGTACTGAATCCTCCTGTGGTTCTAACCAGTTCACCTTAATGACGAGACACAGTATTCAGTCCTGAACTTATTAAGGTGCCTGACACAACTCTGTTGACCTAATCTATTACACTTTTTAGGTAGGTTGCCATGAAATTGACTATTTGTGGTCCACAGAGGCAGATTTTGAATCATTTGAATCTGGTGTTGTCATCAAGTCCTAGACTTTAGTTTTCAACATTAGCACTTAGCTCAAAGCACCACTGTTCTCCTGTAAAGATTCACTTACCCGGGGTAAGTTACCCCTTTGCCACCAAAGTGGTTCCAGTTCTAGGTCCGTGCTAGTGCTCTTTTGGTTCAGAAGTTGTTTGAAAGTTATTTATCATACTTTTCTTTTTAAAGATTTGAGGTCTTTGACCAAAAACAATTAAGTTGCATAACTCATAGGAGGGCTATTTCTTTATCATTTCTGCCCTCGCACTTCAACTCACTTTGTTCTCATTCATTGTATTTGATTCGATGTCTCACTGGGATGCGCCTCGCTGCGTTTTCCTCAGAAGCATCAATCTCATCATGCTAATCCTAATGGTGATTCCTGGCGATCGTGCTGGCGCGTCAGGGAATCCACCGACCATTAAAATAGCTTCTGCTACATCCCAGCGCCATTCAAACACCTCTTCTCGCTTCGTAGCATATACTTGATACACTTCGACTCTCCGTTCTTCACCAAAGACCGGAGCATTTATCGATTTGGATATTAGAACCAGCTGATAACCAACATTGCCTAGCTTTTTTTTAATATAAGCAAGCCAGCCGATACACTGTCCCTCTCAGTTAGCACTACAGCTAACTGAGAGGGACAGTGTATCCTTCCCTCACATCAGAGGAGATGGAGGTCACAGGGCTCCTCTCTCGAGGCTCATTTCGAATGGTGCTGCATTGTAGCGCAAGCTATTTATAGAGTAGGTGGATCGTCAGGATTGGTGTAATGAGATTGATGCATCTGATGAATACGCAGGGAGGCGCATCCCATAGTGAGACATCTCATCATGCTACTCCTAGCCTGCGAGCTAGTTCAGGCAGTCAACTCGAGCACCAATGATACATTAACACGTGACGCACCTCGTCCCTCTTACAACCAACCAATCACATTCTCCTAAACATGCCGCTCTATTGAAGCTGCCAGGTCTTCCTGCCTCTGCCTCGCTATGCTGCTGCTGCCACTGCTGTGTTCACTTGCTACTGCTACGTTCATGTTCCTGCTCCTGTGTTTCATGTTGCTGCTGCTCGCCTGCCCCCCCACCACCCCAGCTTCCACCCCAGCTCCACCTGTAGGCTCGGGGGGTAGTTATCTAATCATTACTCAATGTTCTTTGTAAATCTGTGGAGTGATGAGGCCCGAGCCTAGACGCCAAACTCAAACTATATGCTGCTTCTAATAAACATATTAAGAAACACGTGAGTTTCAAGTAACTTCATATTTTCTTATATTTTGTCTGTATAAATTAATATTGAATAAGTTGAATTACAAAAAACATACATTAATGAACACACATTAAAAAGGCAGTGTTAAGAATGTAAAAATGATATTTCCCTCTGATGCTTGAAAACCTCTCTCTCTCTCTCTCTCTCTCCCCCACCCCCTCTCTCTCTCCCCCACCCCCTCTCTCTCTTCCCCACCCCCTCTCTCTCTCCCCCACCCCCTCCCTCTCTCTCTCCCCCTCCCTCCCCCTCTCCCTCTCCCTCCCTCAGACTGCGGCGGCAGCAGCCGAGTCCAGGTCTGTTTGTGAAGATGCGCTCGGCTCGGTTCAGTCCTGAGAGCGCAGACGGTCCAGCCAGCGACGTGGACGAGGAGGAGGAGCAGCTCCAGATCCCATGACGCTCACACCTGCAGTCATACAGGAAATACTTCACACAAACATCAGCTGACACATGAAGAACTTGAAATAGTTTGTCTTTTGTGCAAACGTTGTATCTTCAGAGACATTCTGCAACAGGAAGCAGCTGTCTACTGCTCAACCAGCAAGTTCTTAAAGGACCGCTGACACATTATGGGAGATATTTTACCCAGATCAAAACATCAAATCATTTATCTATGTGCATCCATGCAAAATGCTAATTTTAGGCAATTAATGGATGCACATTTTAATAATCAAAATAAAAGAATCATTAAAAAACAGAAGCGTTCATCTGGAGTTTAAACATGACCAAGGCAATGTGACAACGTTTCCTCACCGCAGACAAATGATTAGCACGCACCTAATCCTGATGCAGAACACACACATTCTCATACACACTCACACACACCTCAACAGACTTGCATTAATGGACGCACAGCTACAAGATGAAAACAGCAGGCGTGTGACAGACTTTAAGGATCTTCTTTACTGGAGCAGTGATTCATTCTTACCTCAGCAGCATCACCCCTCTCCCCTCTGTCCCCCTGTCCATCCATCAGCAGTATTAATACTCTCCGCTGTGAAGAAAATATGCAGCATTGAAAGCCCGGTCACTTCTGCAATTTAAACCGCTGCATTGAAAAACAAAAATGTCTATTCATTTCAATGGAATCTGAACATATCTGGTATGGTGAACTTTGACAAATAGCTCTTTACTCTGTCCGAGTATAAATTCTTACTTTATTAGTATTACCCACAGAGCTGTGCAGCATGCCCACCTGAAAGTTAGCATCGAGGGGCTCCCTCCATAAAATGCAATGGGATTTTTCTAGAAAATGATCTCTGTGACAAACACACGTTTATGATACTTATGGGTTATGTTCAGATGAATAACCTCCACATATGAACACCGCTTTATGATTTTTGAAGTGTAAATGCAGTTATCAGAAGTAAAAAGTTAATGCTAGGCTGTAAACAAACTACATCCCATTCCATGAGGGGGCATACTATAGAGAGGAACTAAAACATGATCAGACGTAATAATGTTGGCTAGCGTATTAGTGCTAAGCTTGCAAGATACAGTGTTTCCCTCCTCAGTCCTCTAACTCAGGGGTTCCCAACCTTTATTGTGCCAAGGACCGGCAGATACATTAAAAAAAATCGCGGACCGGTTGTCAATTTGAACTGATTTTAATATTTACTCACCAGCAGGTAGCAACAGAGGCTAATTGTATGTAACAGCCTGAACAAATACTAGAACAATATGCATCCAAAACATATTAACAAAGTTTAAAAAAAAAAAAGAACCGGTGTTTTTCGAAAAACGGAAAACCAAAAAACGTGCGTGCGTGCGTGCGTGCGTGCGTGCGTGCGTGCGTGCGTGCGTGCGTGCGTGCGTGCGTGCGTGCGTGCGTGCGTGCGTGCGTGCGTGCGTGCGTGCGTGCGTGCGTGCGTGCGTGCGTGCGTGCGTGCGTGCGTGCGTGCGTGCGTCACTGGCATTTGTTTTCATAAGATATTATGATAGTGTCGTTCGTTCCGGTGGACACATACACATCATGCGCCTTGGTGACCGGACATCTCCTTCATAAAACGAGTAATAGGGGTAATAATTGGGCAGTTCGATGTGTGTCGAGGTGTGTGTAGAGATGTGTGTAGAGGTGTGTGTAGAGGTGTGTGTGGTTAACACGTAGCAGCCTGCAGTCACTCTTAAACTGTTCTGAAGAAGGTAAACACAGCGAAGGCGGTGCGTAAAAAGGCACAGCTCTTTACCTGCTGGTGCTGCACTTCTCAGAGGCGGAGTATACGTCCCGCTGCCTCCTGATGCTGCAGCCATTTCATGAAGTGAAGGAGGTGTTCCTTCTATAAAACAGCTGCGGGCAGAAGATACCGTGAGGTCCCGGACATTAATTCATAGATCAAGACAGACTGGTTTACTCTCCTGTTTTGCCAATCCGGTGCTTAAACAAATAGCTCTACACCCCTGGCCGACATGTCGAGACTTAAAATGAAGTCCGAGTTTGAAATATATCTCAAATAATGTATGCACCACCATTTCCCCACATAAACATAACAGTCTGCAATCAAACGGTTGTCTCCTGTGCGCTTCTCTTCCTACTTGGCGCACCGGTAACATTCTCGTGCGCACAAGAGGCTGAGACCTTAGGCTGAGCCGCCGAATCCCTCGGAACATCATAAAAGCCATTTTCAACGGTTTTCTGGTGAAAGATTAACTAGCTACTGGATGAAATAATATGACTGGTATAGGGGCGAAAATTAAACACTTTTTGAAAAAAACATGATCAAATATTTTTATATATTTATAATTCTGCAAATATTACGATACACTCACAGCTATTTTGCGGCCCGGCAGTAACACCTCCGCGGCCCGGTACCGGTTCCGCGGCCCGGGGGTTGGGAACCCCTGCTCTAACACCTTTCAAACATCCCATTCAAACGCTGGAAATCAGAAGTATTGTGCTTTGAGAGGAACAGGTTTCAAGCTAAATATCCATCAGTGAAGCATTTAAGGTTAAAGCTTTTGGTTGAGATTTGAGGTTTTTTCTCCAGACTTGTAGTCCAATCCTGTGGGAATAGAAGCTTTCTTCACAGCAGAATACAGAACTACATTATGGATGCAAACCTTTAACACGGCAGAGGCTCGAAAAACATCCAAAGCTCTCGTGCTGCTCTCACTTTGTTGCTTCAGGTAAGTTTTATGCTGCGTTTGTACTGAGCTTCAAGTATTTATATCCAGTAATTCCCTCAGGACTGATTTTAGTTTGGACTGAAACACGTCTCAAGCAGCATTCAGACATCATGGGAGAGTGAAACCCAGTATGATGCCTGTAGGTTTAATATTCCCAGGGTCCACAGAGACGGCCATGAATCCAACAGTCGAGGGAGGTTCAGATACAGTGTGTGTTAAACTGAACACTTAAGTTATTTCTACCAAACTAGTCCGGGCTAAATCTGTTTCTCTGAACTCTCACGCTGGAAGGGGACCAAGATATTTTTACTGATCAGGATTCTGAACTATTTATGTCGTAATGGTTTTAGTTTTTATAAATGATCTGTACCACAGTGGTTTTGTATTAGCCCTATAAATGTCTACTGTATATATAAAAACATGAGTCTGTGTCTTCTTTCTACACTTTTTCTGTGTCAGAGTAAGCTCTTTGTACTGTGCACACCATGGCCTCAGTGCTGCTGACTTTAGGGTTGTTGTCCTCAAGGTTCTCTTAAAACTGGCCAGCAAGTAACCATGGTATTGATGTTAATGTTAATCAAATCCTTAAAGAAATTCAGACACTTATTATGGTCAGGATTTCTTCCAGTGTTTTCACCACTGCCATTCTGATATATTCTCACTTGGCAGGTGTAAGCTGAGGATCCATAGAAGTGTGAGCTCTGCGTTTTGGACACACTATGTTGTGATAAGAGACCCCTAACGATCAGAGAATGGTCTTTTTTTGTCTAAATAGGTTCCCAACTTTGTGAAATGACCCTGATATTTTAAGTGCCAGCCATGATAAGATCTGTTTAAAGTGGACCTATCATGCTATATTTGAATAATATATTGTAGGGCCATACCTATATAAGGTATATTTATACGTTTTCTTTTTCAAAATACCAAACAGATCATGCATTTTAGCCATGCCTCATTTCGCTCTATTTTGCTTTCCTCCACCCTGTCTTTGCATGCGCTGCAGCTGACCACGCCCCCCTGCAAAGGAGGGGGCCGAGTTACGAGCGTTGTGTTACCATGCTGTTACCATGCCACGGCACCCTCTCATTCCCCTGATTGGTCAGCTCCGCCGTCCTGACGTCAGAGAACTGTTCAAATCTGGATCAGTCTGTATCAGATCCGTTGCAGCCCCGTTTTTAGAGAAAATAGGAGCTGCTAAATCTGCATACTTTAAGGAAACCTGGTGACAAAATCAAGAGCAGAGTGGATCTAAAGTTCTTGCTGTTAAAATGCTGATCTGCTAGTCTGGTGATATTTTATATTTGTATTATTGTTAACAAAACCAAAGGAGACAACCAAAACCAACAACATGTTAATCTGTGTTGCTCAAACAGGAGTAAATGGTGCATTTGTTGGGATTATTTTGTATGGCAGATTAAACCCATTTGTTTGCTTTATAGAGTATTTGTGTTTACTGAGTCAAAATAATCTACAGTGTGTTTATGTTAATTTAGGGGACATGCCACCTAAAATAAGATAAGATGGAACTTTATTATTTCAATTAAGTTTTTAGTAGCAACAGGTAGTCTTGTAGTCGAGACCACCTTATCCGAGACCAAGACATTACCAAGACCGGAGAGTAGCAAGACCAAGACAAGACCCTGGTTGCGGTCGAATAGTCCATTTAGCTTAGGAACCTTCCTAACGGAGTGAAATTACCCGGAAGTCCCTCAGTGGCAGCCATGATAAGTGCCGTTCAAATTCTCTAAATTAAAAGGAAAGGAGGTTTCAAACTTCCTTTATAACCTCCTTTAGCTTAGGAACCACTGGACCTTCCTTTATGAAAGGAGAGGAGAAAATGCTGCCCCACAATGCCTTGCGGCCGCAGCATTTGCCGTCACACAACAGTCGGCCGTTCACGGAAACAACCGATTATGACCGAGAAATTATATCATGAAAGTTACGGTGCTTATTAAGCATTTTAAAACGTATGTGGTAAGTTGCCAAAGTGCTTTGTTTTGAACGTTCATCAGTATTATAATCAAAAAGAGAAATATGAACGTTAGTTTTTACTGAAATGATCAAATAAAGTCAACATTTCACAGAGTTTACTGAGCTGTGTGGGGTTTGTTCAACTTTTAAAATATGTTTGAATGGTGATATACACAGAGATAGATGTTAAGGACTAACGTTTATAATAAATACGTTAGTATACAGACCGGAGGGAGAGGGTGATGAGCCAACACACTCTCACTCCATAAACGTCCAGGAGCGACACTTGGTCAGGGTCCCGAGGCGTGCAGTTGGGACGCTCCTAGGCTCCTTCAGCTTCATAAACAGACGCAAAGAGCTTTCAACTGATTGCAATGTATTCCCATCTGCGGCGGGATTTGACGCTCATGGAAGCACGGCATTCGTTTGTGTCGGAGGCTGTTAAAGGCAATGTGAGCGTCCATTCCCATTGGATAACGGTGAATTGTACACCCGGAAGTAAGTATTCCCCTTACTGTCGATTGATTTGACAGTGATATCTCCACTACTCATCATCAACTCAAAAACACCAGATTATCCTTGTTAATTAAACGACATTGATAGGTTTTAGTGTGTGTACAATGCTTTTGTCACGTTTTCCCCTTCAATTCTGAGAAACAAGTCGTTTTCTATGAGTTTTGGATGGCCGAAGACATTACATTACCCACAATCCTCTGTAGCAACCATAGACTGTATAATGCAACAGGCAACAGCTTTGGTTCATGTTAATTTACAAACTCTTCAACTACAACCGTAGTTATATTTAAAAACATGTTAGAAGGCCTCACGAAATACTTTAATGTAAATTTAAATTTAAATGTGAAGGAATGTGTGTATATTAACTGTGGGTTTTTCTCTGGAAGTCTTTCCTTGTACGATGTGAGGGTCAAAGGACAGATGATGCCGTTTTTCTCATACTGATATTCCGCTATGCACGCTGGGATTTGGTGTTTATGCGATGTGAAATCCGAAAACTTTAAAAAAAAATTAAATAATACATTATTCCGAGTGTGCTTGCTTTTCTCTTTGAAAGTCATCACATAACGGCATTGTAATACACGTTTCGGCTGCATTAAATATGACATATCTGCCGTAGTTAACTCTATGTATAGAGCCCTGATGACAAGACTTCTAGACAAACAGGAACTGCCGCCAAAACTGAAAACTTGACGCGGATCTTAAATATATAAGCAATTAAACAACATCTTACATTTCTTTTCACACAATACGTCTCCTTGCAGTATCAACACTAATTCGGCTGACTTTTATATTTGATCCAATTGGTAGATAGGCTGTATTTACGCCATAACGGTGCACAGCTGATAGAAAGGGACACCTACTGATTAAAGCACGTTATTGCATTTTATAATTGTATTATAACTTCCGCCACAAAATACATCAAAAGCAGCGAAGAAGACCCCGGAGCATGGTTGCCATGGTTGCCATGGTTGCCATGGTTGCCC